CTTATCCTTTTGAATAAAATGATATCTATAAGGTTTTATGCTCACATGTTTAGATCTCACTTTTAAAATAATCATGTGATCATGCATTCTTCGTGGAGGTAACCTTTTAAGCCCCTTAAAGACATCCTTAAACATATCCAGTATTGCCATTAATTTTAATGGAACTTGCTATCCCATCCGTATCCCATAATTTTCAACCTTCGAGTTCATCAAAATTAATCATTTGATTCAATTACAAACAATTTATTTGATGTTGTTTACAAATAACCTTTTTAGCCTTTCTTTGTTCATCACTTTTGATTAAACCTACACACTTTCCTCGTAATAAAAATAATCTCCCATTTTTTATAAACCTCACCCATTTCTATCTAAATTTTCAAGTTATATCTCTCAATATATATAATCATGCCACCTACAATATCATCTCATGCATTTTTAAATGCATCACAAAAATTATAATTTTAAAGATCTCTTCTTATATTTTCTGTCTAAAATTATTGCACATATATTCACACACAATATCTCTACTATCTACTCGCTCTAAATTTTATTGGTTTAATCTTAACTAATTTACAATGATTCCTCTTTGTAAATCTCAAATTAACAAAATTATGTGTGCTACTAGTGTCTACCAAAATATTCATTGTTTTACCATGTAAGTCCTTTATAGTTTTTATAGTTTGATAACATTCCCTTCAAAAAAACTACATACATTGAAATTTGATACAACTCTATAGAAAAATTTCCCATATTTCCAAATTCTCCACTCATATTTTCTTCCACAAGTCACTTCACTCTCATTCCGATCAACCTCATACTCTTCGACTTTTAACATAAAAGTTTGTCTTCCTTTACATTTATGACCATATGCATACTTATCATCACAAAAATAACATTGTCCCTTTATCCTCTTTTCATCCAATTCATTATTGCTACGAAACTTTTAGTTACGCACATAAAATTACAATTCTAAAATTAGACCGGTAAAAGTAATAGACCTTTCTAATTGTATTAATGTTGTTGTATAGTTTATTTGAGAGTTTTGATTCATATATGGGAAAAACAAGGGATGGATCTTCTATTGGTCTTTTAAAGCCCAAATACTAAAAAACATAGTTGCGGGCATATGCTTCTTGGTTGGATTAGTTTTCTAAATAAATATAAGAATATTAAAAATTAGTTTCTGGTTGAACATAGAGGAAAATTTGATATTAAATCTATTAGGGCTATGTTGGATATTTAGATTAGTTTCTTGAAGTTTGGCTAAAACCACTCGCTTACTTGAGAGTTTTTGGTCTCATAACTCTAACGACTATTTATAATTCTAGTTTTAGACTACTAATAAAACAATTGATAATATAGTCTTGAGGTAGAATTAGCTTGTTAACAACATAAATGTACTTTTTAAGAAAAAACTTAACATTGTGTATTTGTTTTAATCTTATCAATTCAGCCATAGGATCATTAAAAACCATAACACCGAAGCATATACTTATAGCACAATATAATCTCGATTAATCACATAATTAACTCCACACATCTCCATAAATATTTGATCTCCTTCTAAAAATTCCTTTTCCAAATGTATATAGTCAAATTCACTTTAATCTCATCTAGATTACTATCAACCATTAAGAATTTCCCACACCTAAAAGTCCATCCCTTAAATTCTCTCCAAAAAATATTAGAAAATCTATCCCGGTCATTTTAGTGTTAGAATGATATCCCAAATTGTCTTTTACATATCTATTATTCATCAACCCAATCTACATTCCTCCAATAGAATACCTATACCTAGAAACTTGATAACCAACCTCATTCAAATTTCCTAATCCCCCATAACCATTAACATGCAACCTAGCTATCATGGACATTATCATTAATTGAACTCTTAAGTCTATTTACCAATTCTTTCTACTCACTAATTTCTTGATTATATTATGTAAAAAATAGAATTACATCTCCGAGGGAGGTTAGTGATTACCTTAGTAAGTGAAGCAATAGATTCCTCAACCTTCTTAAGATTAGTACTTCCTTTAGCCATGATTGTTCGTCTCCTCTCGCAAGTGCCAAAATCAAGCTCTAAGACAAATTGATGCAACTCTAAATCCATAATCAATTGAAAAACACTAAGATTGCAAGAAAACAAGAATTCTTTATTTAATATAAAACAACAACAATGATTGTTTAGTTACAATACAATGTTAGACTCAAGAAACAATATTTAAAATATATCAAATTGATTTACATGCAAAAAGAAAGAATGAGAAATATAGTGAGGAAAACCAAAGAAGAAGCTAAAGAGAAAACAAGACACAGAGAGAAAAGGGAAAGAATTTATACTCACTTCGTAGCCGCCTAACAAACACTCTTCGCGCTCTCTTTTAACAACACAATTAACTAATGCCAACTCATTGACAACTAACTAATGCTACCTCACCACAACTGACTTGCAACAAACTCATAGCTCAACAACTCTCAGAAATGCAATTCCTAGCAATTCGTTTATGGCTGCATCAATATATCAAAAGCCAATGCTGTCGTACGTGATTAAGCTTTAGAATGTTCTTTTGAATTCTCTCTTCTCCTTGTTTTAACTACTAGTAAGTGAAAATGCTAGCACACAATGACTGAAAAGCCAACAACTTGTTAGGAATACTAACCTTTCTTATTAACAATAACAACATATTGGACCAATTGATATTGTTTTCGTTTTGTATCTTAATCACAAAGAGTGGTTTTGCTTGCAACTGTACAAACATTCTCGTAACCTATAAGCCCACTTTCATTTAGATTTGAACGGTGAAAAGATTGTAATAATTAGTAAAACATGCTGGACTAGTTGATATTGTTTCCATTTTGTATCTTAATCACAAGTTAAGAGTGTTGTTTTTCTCTCTTATCAAGTGTAGTCTCGAGTTTTAATAAATGATTTCCTGTTATTTTTATAAAATGATTATAAATAATTAGAATAGCATGCTAGTCCCTATGATATTTCTTTTGACAATTAACTATTGGATTATTATTCTCCGAATATTTACCGTTAGTTTACAATTCCAAATATAAAAATTAACAGTACATGGTAAAAACTGAATCCATAACAATCCTCTTTTAAATTGTTCATAAAATTATTTAGGATTTGAGCATAGTTTCCTACAAAAATTTCAAGAAATTACTCAAGCACTATATTTACGTTTTTTTTTTTTACTTATGATTCAAAGGAAAGACAACACTTTAAACAAAATTAGTTTTTGTTACATATCCTAGGAGTTGTGACTCCATATTTATCTTTTAAAAGAATTATAATACAACCCATTGAGACATTCGACAAATATGAAATATGTAAAGGAAAAGAATAGGTAGAACAAGAGTTTTTGAAATAACGTGAATATTGGTGCATTTCCGATTTTTGAAACTTAAGAATATTGTTTATTTTTTGTGAAGCGAGGGATTCAATCAAAAGCATATGAATGGTCATACAATAAATGATCTCATAAATGTCGTGAATACTTGTAGATGTAGATGCTGTAAGATGATAATATGCTGAAAGCGTAAGAGGAATAAAAACCACTCACTTGCATTGACAAATTGATATATTTTGTGGTCACTCTTTTTTTTTTTTTTTTTCGTCTTCTGAAGCATTACTTACCACCTTCTATGTTGCCCTATCAAATCAAAGGGTTTATGTCCTTTTCAGACATGCCCTCCACAGCCGCCCCTAGTTAGAATTTAGTGATGGATTAACACAGAGTTTCCATCGTGTCATCCTCTATATACCTATCTATCTTCCTGTAGCCAACTTTTTTCTCAGAGTTGCTATGCACCCATGTCAATTCCTTCAGCCTGGTACGTGGTAAGTAATTTTAATTGAAGCTTAAAATATCGTTGTCTTTGTCATCGATGAATTATTGCTTAGATTCAATCAATCGACCAACTTGAGTGGTGAATTTTACGAAATCTATTTGTTGTGAATGATATTTTCATGATTTCTTCCTGACTTCCTTCTACGTTCGAATCTAAAATTTTAGTTTGAAAGTGCGTTTGGGATGCATGATGATTGGTTTTATTTTCTGTTCAGAAATAACCAATATAACAGCCCGCTGAGCTATAATATGGGCTAGTTTGAGCCCTTTAAATAAGTTATCTTTCGAGACTGTAAGCCTTTATTAAAAATAGAAGAGCAGCTCCTTGGCCCAAGAGTGCTATTTTAAAATGACATGCATATCTCATCTTTGCACCAATGTTTTTATGATTATATATATCTCTTTTGATTTTTTATTCTTACAACAGATAAAAAGAGATCCAGATCTATATCTCTAATTCACTAATAATTTCTCCTGTTACAATAGTTATTGTCTATTGAGAATTATGTCATATAATCAAGCTTATTGTATATTTATCATAAATTAAAATAGTGATATTTAACGATGATCGTTGTCGTCAAGTCAGATTAAAGATATATAAATTCGTTTTTTTTATATATTTTTTTTGTAGTCTTGATTTCTTCAAAAATTTCAATTAAAATAGTATACTAAAATATGCTTTATCGTTATCATTTATTTTATAACCTGTTTAACTTAATGTACTACATAAATCATGAAATAAAGTACTTGTGCTTTTGTGCCTAGAAAAAGAAAAATAGTATAACTTATTTCATCATCACCATTGGAATTTTTTAAGAAAATATTTCCAACTTTCAACCAAGGTTGGGCTTAGGAGCAGGGATTGGGCTTAAGAAAAATATCTCCTTCAGAATGATAGCTACCAGAATGTGTTTCGCAGCTTGAGTGCCCAACGTTCACTACACCAGAACTTTTACTTTCTTTCATCAACCGCATGCTGCCCTTTAAATCCGTTGCTTTCGTTGCTACTCGCGCTTTTTATACATAACAGAAAACGGCTCTTCTTGTTTCTCGCCTTTGTTTCTTTTTCTTCTTTCAGAGCTCTAATGTTTTTTTAAAAAATAAAAAATCAACGCAGCTAGAAATTTGAAAAACAAAATGGCTGCTTTGTTACTTCGCCATAGAAAGGTCTCAACTTTGGGAGTTTCTAGCATTCTAAAAGGTTTGTTTTTCTTTTATTTTTTTGTTAATTGAATTTGTTTCTTTAGATATTACTGAAAAGCAATTATTTAATTGCTTGTTGAGTGTGATTTCTTGGTTTTTGAAGAATTATAAAAGATGCTAGATATCGATATTATTATTATTATTATTATTATTATTTAGTTGTTTGAGTTGTTCTATTTTATTTTATTCATTTTCTCTAAATGTTTAGCAGCGAAAGTGGATCCTTTTCGGCTACATGTAGAATTAAAACTTGGAGCTTTGGCTGGTGTTTGCAATTTGTTAAGGGAGTACAGCACCAGCAATGACAATCCTAACCTCAATTTTGATTTTTTGGATTTGACGTAAGAACTCTCTCTCTCTCTCTTTTTTATTTTTTATTTTTCCCATGCTGATATTCAATCAAAAATTTGTTTTCTTGTTTGAATTTTGCAACTACATGGTTACTTTATTATAAATTGAAACCTTACATGTTCGTACATGAAATTATGTAATAAAGGAGTGAACTTCCATACATTATATAGTGTATTTGGAATACAATGCTCTGATGGATTCGTTTTTTTACTTTTCTACTTTTGGGGTTTTAGAAAACTGAACCTGGGTTCATTTCTCATTTGGGAGTGAAATTACACGGTTTAGTATGGGAATTCGTAGTAGTTGCAATCTTGTGATTGGTTTTAGGATCTTGATTCGTTGAGATAAATCACTATCATTTCAAGATATTCCAAATGGCTGATTTTTCAAACTAACTGTATTGTTTACTGGGTTTGAACTTTATTTTCCAGAAAATATCTGAACCTTCTAGACTCGGCTTGAAATATCTATAGCAATTTATAGGAATTACAATTTTGGTTTGAGATTATCTGAACCCTCTTAGTCAGTTTCAGGTCTTACTTTCTAGTGATGCTCTATCTCTTGATTGATATGGTTATGCCACTAGTGATAATTGTTTGTGGATGAAAAGTAAATGTCAATGAAGAAATGTGTTATATCATCTGGTTTTTGCCTTTTTGATTGAGTTGTTTTGGTTGATTCAGTTGTCCTCATGCATGGTACCCAGTTGCACGAAGAAAGAATCGCAAGATTTTCCTGCATGTGGGCCCCACAAATAGTGGTAAAACATACCAGGCTTTGAAGCGGCTTGAGTCAAGTCCTTCTGGTATAATTTTTATCATCATTTACTTTAAAGTTAACCACCCCATCCACATGAGAAAGATTAACACTGAAGTACATAAGCTATACATACTAAGTATTTTTTTATTGTTTTTGTCCCTTGGTAGGTGTCTATTGTGGTCCTTTGAGGTTGCTGGCATGGGAGGTAGCAAAAAGGTTGAACAAGGCAAACGTACCTTGTGATCTAATAACAGGGCAAGAGAGAGAGGAAGTGGATGGGGCAAAGCACAAAGCTGTGACAGTTGAAATGGCTGATGTAACCTCAAATTATAGTTGTGCTATTGTTGATGAAATTCAGGTATATTGATGGTTCAAATGAAGGATTTTCTTCACACTATGTTTTATCAAACAAATAAATCTGAGATTCTTGTGCTATTAAATATATTGAATGGACCATGTTCATGCCTTCCTGGAATAACTTGATGTTTCTTTAATACTTTTGATGGGGGGTTATTCTGTACCTGCTAAAAAAAGCATGTTGCTCTGAATAAATATTCCTGTCCTGTTTTTATTTATATAAGTTTGCAATACAACTTATATATCAGTACAAGTGATGGAACGTGTAGGAGTTTATATATTACTAAACAAAATCATGAAGAGGTTGTGTTTTTTATTTTATTTATGTGTACTAACAGGATTGACTTGTCCCTTTGTTCTTCTGAAGTTTTATATATTTTTTAGTGAACTAGTTTACCAATTATGCTACCAAATGATTTACATCATGATAGGCTGTTGTATAGTCTACGATTTGTCCTTACATCTCATTGTCAAAGTACAACAATGAAGTGAGCTAGGTCAAGATGTTGTGTTGTTAGGCCATCGTACTTGGGCATCAGTGGACTTCTGAGTTCTGTTCTGAATCTTTTCTCTCTTCTTGTTTCAGATGTTGGGGTGCAAGACAAGGGGTTTCTCATTCACACGTGCCCTTTTAGGTATTTCTGCTGATGAACTCCACCTCTGTGGAGATCCGGCTGCGGTTCCTCTTATTCAGGAAATACTAAAAGCGACTGGTGATGATGTCCATGTTGGTTTTCCCAAACTTGCAAAGAAATATTCATGATAATTGGTTTTAACCGTTCAAATTTTTAATACACATTAGAAACACAGATATACACTATATTTAGTGATCCCACGTATGTTTTTCATGTTGCTACTTAATGGTTTGAAAAGAAATGATGGAGAAAAGTTGTGAAAGTCAATTTAATCACATTTGGTTTCATTTTTGTGATTTATGTTGTCAAAAAACAAATCAAGATGAAAATCCTCTCTGCAGTTGTGAATGATTTTGTTTTACATATGCGGAGAACCATATCTGCAGGGACAGTATTGAACATTTATTGAACACAAACTTTTGAAAATTTTAAGGACTGTTCCATCTAATGTAAAAATGGCAATATGCTAATTATTGTTAATGAATGCAGAATTTCAGGCATGTCCTTATGTGTAAGCAATTTGTTGTAGTAACACACTTGTTTAAGCCTATGAATATATGTTCCTTGTACTCTTGTTATGCCATCCATGTCATGTTAATTGGATTTGTAAACCTTTCTTGTTGCCATTATGTCCCAGGTTCAATACTATGAGAGACTTTCACCTTTAGTTCTATCACAGAAACCTCTTGGATCATTTAAGAATATACAAACAGGCGATTGCATTGTAACCTTTTCACGTCATAGCATATATAATTTGAAGGTTAGTGATTATTTTAACCTTTTTTACTCAGTTTCTATTCTTTTTGTTAAGTGTGAGTACTTTTTTGAAGGTTCCCAAATGTTGTGTTTTCTTTCTTTTTTTTTTTTTTTTTTAGTTTTCCTGGGGGCCTACGGGCTTCAATATTGTTAGTTGCACCTTTGTACGGTGTCTTGTTTGATTTTATACTAGTCACAAAATTTTTGTCAACTTGCAATATTTTAATCAATATTGTGAATTCGAAACTGGGTAGGATTGCCAAACATGCTATATGTCTTTTGGCTGGCATTCTAACTTTTCTATGTGCATTTCTATCTTTGTTGTTGATGCCAGGGACAAATTGAAAGCAGGGGAAAGCATCTTTGTTCTGTTGTTTATGGTTCACTGCCACCAGAAACTCGAACCAGACAGGTGCTGGTTCCTTCTTGCTGTCAAGAATCATTGTTTTAACTTGATGAAGATCAACCGCACTTGTCCAAATAAGTATTCTTGGCCAAACTGCTTATTTAGGTTTACCTTCAAAAGTTAAGAGTAAATCATAAATTAGTCACTGAGTTTTAAGAACCAAATAATCTAATTTTGAAAGTAATAATTTAATCCCTATATTTTCATATTTGTTTATGACTTAGTCCCTCCTTTAGTTTCTGTTAGTGAGTTGATCCTGTCTGACCAATACCATCACTTTTTTGCTAGTTTTTGCTACTGATTTGATGGCCAAATATTGTCTAACGATTAAGTTATTATTTTTGAAAACTAAGTTATAATTAACTTTAAAAGTTAAATCAAGCCTTGGACTTGTAACCACAAGATAGTTTGTGTAGAGCTGTCGCTCCATGAAAAAAGTGTTGATGTGTGGTGGCTTTTACGACTTTTCTCCTTCCATGAGCCCTTATTTTGTGGAAGCTTCCAGGACTCTGTATTGACTTCTTTAATCTGTAAAGATGCATTTTCAATGGCATGGTTATGCTATTATGAGATTGATCTTCGGCTAGTGGAGGGAGTGTTTATTCTTATCTATCGCCAACCTTTTGAGTCTTTTAGTTAATTCTCTGATAGTCTTTTCATATGCAATTGCTCTCAATTGTAATCTTATTAAAGTTCATAACTTTAAATCTTGATATGTCTATGCTGTTAAGAGGTTATTTATCTGTGTTCTGCTCCAATGATATCTATACCAGGAGTGGATTAATTGATGTGTTATCTAGGACTGCAGGCGACAATGTTCAATGATGCAAGCAGTGAATTTGATGTTCTTGTGGCTAGTGATGCCATTGGGATGGGTCTAAACCTGAACATTTCTAGGATCATATTTTCAACTATGAAAAAGTTTGATGGTGTTGAGATGAGGAATCTAACAATATCAGAGGTTAAACAAATTGCAGGTACATTGTTACATGGAATTTCATTCGTTAAACTTTTTGGCTTCATCATTATTATAATTGGTTTTATGTACCAATTTCATTCTGGGCATGGGGACTTCCCAGTTTGGCCTAAAGTATAGAGCAAACAATGCTGCCTCTTGTGATAAATTGTGCATTTCTACTTCTACATCAAACTGTGCTGAAATCTATTTGTGATTCTACCATAAGAACTAAGAAACAAATTTCTTGTCATCTGTTAGTCTGCAAAAATTGTTTGGATCTTGTATGCCTTATGGTGCAAGATTCATAGAGAGGAATGCTGGATTTTTGTACTGGAGATAGTACAATTCAACCACTGGTAGCTTTTATGACTGAAATACACATTGATTTTAGCTTCTGGTTTGAGGTGTGAGGATGGAGTGATGCTACATGTCACTTAAAAAACATAACGAATAAATCACAACAGCACAGTGGCAAGCCTTGTAATTTCAGTAAACTTTTTGGGTTTATTGATTGTCTCCATGCGTGTATCATTTGTTAAAAGATTGTTCATGACAAACAGCTTTACTCGTCAGGATGCAGCTAGATAGGTTCACATCAAGGCTGGACCTGTTGACACATGATTAAGCACTCATGTCCAGAGAGTCCGAGACCCCGTCTGTAGCTATGTGAGCCTATGGAGTAGACATTTCGATTTAACAGGCTGTGAGGCTTAAAAGCCATCTTTTAGTTCCTTCCAGACTCGGGGCTTTCCCCTCTTTACCCTTATGGTTCCATAATATTGTGAATTCTTCTATTTTCTGCTTTTAACTCAATTAATTTATTTTTCATGGTTTGAAGAACTTTTTGTTGGAATCAACTGCTTTTAAGCAAATGATCCTCATCTCAAATGCTCCTTATCACGTGAGCATAAATGTCTGCCTTTGCAAATTCTTCTCTGATTGGCAGCTCTTCTTTTTGGGAATTAGGAATGTATCGTTTTTAGCTGATAAAAAAAAATATATAGCATTGGTTAGCTGGTTTCAATAGATGCTAATTTATTGAAAACAACTAAACAACTGCTTGTGGTCATAACATGTGCTTGTGAAGTTATGTTCTTGCAATATATTAACTTGCTGTGATGCTGTTATTTGTATTGTCAATGGTTGCATGCCAACTACTATGTAGTGGCTAGTTTCATTCTCATGGCTGAAGAATTATGCCTTTAGGGAGAGCTGGCAGGTACGGATCAGACTTTCCAGTTGGAGAAGTGACCTGTTTACATGCAGATGATCTACCCTTGCTTCATTCATCACTGGAATCACCATCTCCTATTTTGGAGGTAATGTAAATGAACAAGCATGCATGTGACTGTTTCATATCATACTCTTATGATACTTGTTTCTGAATCTGATTAACTTCTACACTGCAGCATGCCGGGTTGTTCCCCACTTTTGATCTCATATATATGTATTCACGTTTACACCCCAAAAAAGGCCTCTACCGTATAATGGTAGGTTACATTTCACCAACTCTGTTTTCATTGTGTTGGATTTCTCATCCAATAGAGCATCAATAAATGACTTATTTCTGCATCCAACTGAAATTATTTGCCATTTCATTCTGATCTCATAGGGCACTAATTCTTTGAATAATTGGTTCTAACTAATTTATTTTATATTTTGCATTTTTGAGGGATTGTGTTTACTTTAGAAGAACTCTGTAAATGTTGTGTCAAACAGTAGTCAAATGACAGTTATGACTTCAACGGTTCACACTTTTCACAACACAGCTTTGACTGGCATCTGAAGTTGACTTTTATGGTCATAGCTTTGTCCTGGTACAAAAATACTAGCCAACTTAAAGAAAGGGTATCCTTAAGTTACATTCAATGCTCTTTCTAAAGGACTGTCTTCTAGTTTTACATATAGTATTGCATTGACATCAGCATGCTTGGTTTGAGCTGAACCAATTGATGGTGTTGAAGTTTGAGACTTCCTCAGAATTAAGTATGATTGTCAAGACTTAAAACTTGTGTTGAAATTCAAACTGTCCTACTTGATAAAAGTTAAGTTCAGCCACCAGTTACTCTTACCTTTTTCTTTGGTTCATATGGTGATGAGGACAAGAATCGAACCTGAGACCTGCAACTATACGATTTGCCCATTGTGTTTTCCTTTACAATGTACAATGCATCTGACCTTTCTTACTTCCCATTTTTCGCAGGAGCATTTTCTAGAGAATGCCAAATTATCTGAAAACTATTTCATTGCTGACTGTGAGGAAATGTTGGTATGTTCCCTTTCCTACCAATAGCATATGCTTGTATAGTTTTAGCATGTTGTTGGCAACAAAGATAATGCTGTTTTTAGAAGTATTAGGTTAAGGTATATAATTACTTGGCATCTGATTTCATTTAAAATGCTTGACGTCAGAAAGTTGCGGCTGTTGTTGATGAATTGCCTATTTCACTGCATGATAAATACCTTTTCGCTATCAGGTAACATCTTTATCTCAATAGATCATAATATGGTTCAAATGATAGCTTTTTCCTAGATGATTATTTCCTTTTTCTCTTTCCTCTTTGGATAGAGCCCGCATAATACTTTATACAATTAAATGTGGCTCTTCAAAATGTCTGGGTTCGCTGCAGATTGTGATCTATAATTAATAGTTATTTGAGTAGCGAATACCATCAAGCCATCAAGCAACCTGTTATTGGTTTGCTGGATGTTATTTACCAGCTCAGCTTAGTTGAGTAGCACTTTAGGGTAGTAAAGTTTGATAACAAGGTCAGATTTATTAATATTTCTGATCTGCAGTCCAGTTGACATGGATGATGAAATTGCATCTCAGGGTCTTGTGCAGGTGAACTTTATATCTCGTTCTTGAATTTGTTTAACATGCTTTCTTGAAGGGAAAGACTGATTATTAAGTTGTGATGGACCAGTTTGCCCAACAATATGCACAGAAAGGCATTGTTCGACTTAAAGAAATATTTACACCGGGGACACTTCAGGTGCCAAAAACAGAATCAGCACTTAAGGAGCTTGAATCTATTCACAAGGTAGACCTTTTTACTTTTCAACATTCTAAGAAACAATGGTAGTCTGAGTTTCCAAATTCAAGCAGTTGAAATTCTTGTGTGACAAACTTCAGCAAATCTTTTGCAGCTCTGCCTCCATGTTAGTGAACATATCCAATATATTAAATAAATACAAAAATATAAAGTCCCATAAAAGATGGTGAATAGGCCACAAGGCTTAAGTCTTTTGGAAGAAATCCAATCTCAACTATCTAATTTAATTCTGCTCGTGATAGAAAAATAGAGCACTTGAATTGGAAATCAATATTTATTCTGTTGTTGAACTATTGGTTTTGTCATAATTAGGGTAAACGAATTTAGCAAGTCACCTTTGCATTTTGCTTGTAATTTTGCTGCTGGCATAAGAAACAATATTGGGTGATTTCTTTGCAAAATCCCATTTTACAAAATATTTAGACATTTTGGCCCTTTTGGTCTTGCAGCACATTGGCATATTGGTTTGCTGTTTTCTGATTCAAGCTGATCTAAATTTTTTTGGTATTGGAAAAATCTTTTGATGAAATTTTCAAAGGACATGGAATTCATGTTTTCATTTTCAATTTTTACTAAAGACCCAGAGCAAAATTTACAGCAACTTTGGTTTTGGAGGGAATTGTCCTTGGGTTGACTTTTCTTCTTTGCTCTTCTCTAAGGTTAAATGAATTGTCCCCTTGATCTTCTCTTCCATCAGAGGTTTGATGATTTTCTAATTCTTCTATGCCATTATAATGTTCATATTGTATCTATAGCTTATTATATGATTTGGTATCAAACACAGAGATGATAAATCGAGACAGACATTTTAAGTTATTGAAAGTAAGGGTGTAATCCGGTCCTTTTGAACTATTAAACTAGACGTGTGTGCTGATAATGCTGTCTTTTCTTGGTTTAACTGCAGGTCTTGGATCTCTATGTATGGTTGGGTTTCCGTTTGGAGGATTCATTTCCTGACCGTGAGCTTGCAGCCTCGCAGAAGTCTATCTGTGGCCTGTGAGTGGGATTCAACCTTTTATCTCTATTATTGTTCGTTTAGCTTGTAATCTGAGTCTTATCGTCAGCCTTCAATATGCAGGTTGATTGAGGAGTTCCTGGATAGATTTGGGGGGCAGCAGCAGCCAAAATGGAGAAAGTTAAAATCACGCTTTAACTCTGGTTTTATATTATCAAAAGAAACACGGCAATATTTATGAAATGATTCTCATATTGTATTTCTCGTAAAGTATTCTTTTAATGGCTGTTCCATTCTCAATATATAGGCTTCAGTCTTCCCATCAACTGTTTTTTTTTTTTTTTTAGCAATTAAAAATAGCCTTTCCTCTAAATATTAAAATGAATGTCTTCTTCTTCCCTTTCCATGATTTATTTTATCAAATCAAATAATGTACCAAAATTTTTCATTAACTGAAAATGTAAAACTTTGTCTACGATAATAAAAATATTCAAACTTCCCCTTAACTTAAATATGATGGTAGAAGCCGACAAAAGCCTTTGAACTCCCTTCTTCATTGTGTTGCGTCGTGTGCGCGCACTTGTGAATGTTCTGTTTGGAAACTGATGGAACTTGTTACTGGACCGGAGATGTAGAGTTCAGGCTTTAAGAATGGATAATTCTGAACCCGGAAGTTGCTTCTAGTGAAAAGATTGCTAATTTTGTTGGAATAAGAATTTGTAGTGCAAAACCAGGGTGAGATTGCCCGAATGGTCTCTGTCTAACTGAGGGTGTCACTCAATGCTTGGAATTTGGCAGCTTTGTGTGATACAAAGCATAGACGGACCTTCAGGCTACAGCAGGCCTTTTTTTCTGTTTTTTTCTTTTCTTCTAATGCTAATCGGTATTTTTGAATTAGTTTGTAAATTATCGAGATTAATTTTTTACCACCGAGCAATTTATCAACGCTAGGGGTAGTCTTTCAAGCAGAAAACGCCAATGAAAATAAATCAGGTTCATTTACAAGTAGAGTCGATAACATGATGGAGTATTCAGTCCCAGCACTCAAAACATGTTCTATCGTTTGGCAAAGAAAGACTCAAGACTCAGGAGGGCTGCATCGAGCTTCGTGCTCCCTATGCTCATATTCTTATGCAGGTCAGTTGGGTTCCTCTGCAGCTGCAGTATTCAGTTATGGGCGGTTGAGACAGTTTTGGAGTTGAAATAAAGTTTGGGTCTTAGAAAAGTTAATGTGGAAAACTGGACTCTGTTCCTGTGTTCCAAACGTTCCTGAAAGGAAGATGTAATTCCAGTGCCATGCTTTGCTTGTTTCATGAGGTCAAGTTCTGTAATTTTTAGGTTGTAGGAACCTCTTAAGGGGATAGACAAGGATTTTTAAGATAATCTTCCATGGGAGTTAGAACTGTTATTGGATAAAAGGTGTAACTGTACGCTATCTGTGAAGTGTTCAGTTTGTTTCATTGGGCATCAGGAACCGCCCAGCATACAAAAGGAGAGAAAAAGAAAGGGAAAAAAAGGAAAAACAAATAAAAACAAAAATTGTTGCGATATAATAGGGAGAAACAAAATAAAGTTAAATTGATGTACTCTTCACCAGCGAATCACATTCTTAATTCGAACTGGGTTTCAGCAGTTAAGATGCTAGATGGAACCATGAAAGTAATAGGATCAAGAACGACGGTTAAGTAGCAAAAGGTTGATGAAAAACAATCGACCTTTCATACTGAATTTCGAAGCAATATTCCCAAGGCTCGAGTAAAAAGTTATGAATCCTAACAGTTAAACAAGTTTCCTGAAAGGTGAAGTCTAAATCATATTTGACTCTCTCGCCTGGTTCATCAGCTTCTCAATCCTTTCCTTCATTTCTGTCATATTCTTTTGCTCAAGTTCCTTCACCAACCTCTTGTACGTCTTGACCATAGGAACCATTCCCTTCAAAACCGCTTCTTGAAAGTAGAAGCAAGCATGTTCAAGCTTACCATTCATTAGAAGTTCATTCACTAAAAGAGTATATGTAGCAAGATCAACACTGACATTGTTCTTGAACATGTGACTCAAAAGAAACTTGAGCAGCTTCATATTCTTCTTCCTGCAACACGTCTTCAATAAAGGTGCGTAAGTCTTGACATCTGGCTTGCAAGAGTCCCCTTCCATTCTTTCAAGTAACTTTAAAGCACTCCCTCCTTGAGAATGTGCACAAGCAGCATAAACCATGGTATTATACACCCACAAATTCCGACGAACTCCTTGCTTTTCCATATCCTCAAATACATCCCAAGCATCTTTTATCCTTCCAGACTGACTTAATATATACATCAACGAACTATAAAATTTAGCATCTGGCAGACAACCGTTTCTTTTCATTTTCTCATAAACCTCCAAAGCTTCATTTAGCTGCCTTGCTTTTCCTAAAGCATGCATAACGGTAGTATATGTAATGACGTTAGGCTTGCAACCCTTTTCTTGCATCTCATTAAAAATAGCTTCTACATTTCTAAAATCCTTCTGTTCACAATATGCTCCTATGAAACAAGAGTATGAAACAACGTTAGGGTGAAACCCGTGTTTCTCCATTTCTTCCATTGTCTTTCTTGCAATAACTAGCATCCGTGCTTTGCAATATCCATGTATCAAAACATTGAAAGTACTAGAATCCAAAGTTATACAATCCTTAAACTCTAAAAACGCAGCATGAGCATCCTCAACACTGCCCTCCTTCACCAATGCATCCATTAAGGCATTTAATGCCTCTTTGTCTTTGGTAACACCATATTTCTCAATTCCTCTAAATACATCAATAGCATCTTTATACTTGCGAGCTTTAGCAAGCCGCCTCATTACCTTGCTCATTGTCGCCAATGAAACAAACCCATCTAACCCTTTCATTTGCTCAACCAACTTCCACATAATACTAAACTTGTTGAACTTCCCTAATATATCAATCATGGAATCATATAACTCAGGAGTATGCACATAACCCGTTTGATTATTTGCCCAAATGAAAACCCCATAAGCCGAGACCCAATGATTGTTAAATCTCATCAAAATCTGTGAAACCAACTCATTTGTTGCATCGATACGACTCTCATTCAACGCCTTGACAACAGCATCTTCAGATAGGTAGGGTTTTTTAAGGATTTCACCAAGTTTATCCACATTGCTAACCTCTGATTCGAATAGCAAGGGTCTGGTCACTTTTCTGTCGGTTTCAAGGTTGGGATTTTCAACCCAGTTGGCAAGCGAAGGGACAACAAAATCTCCATCACCTGTGTCGGAGAGGTTTTGGCTGTTGCAGAGCCAAGTTGGGAGATCAGGAGACTCGGGCAAGTTGGACGAGTCATGAGTATGTAGGGGCAACTCAGATGTGGTGCATAGATTTTTGGCTAATAAGTGATAGATTTGGTAAGGTTTAGGGGAGAGGGATTTATGAAAGAGCTTGAGCATTTGGAGGTTCACTGGCATTTTCTCTGCAATCCGAAAATTACCGCGAAGTAAAAGAAAGACGAGATATTTGTAACAATAGTTTGGGCCCACTAGACCCTTGTAAAAACTATTTGGCCTCGTACCTTTGACCCACAATTGAGCTCAAGTGGTTTTCGCCCACTACCACATCGTCTTCACTGTTACAAAATTTTTCATTTACTTGCCTGTCCATGTCCGCTCCCTGCTCTCTCTCTCTCTCTCTCAAATTTTTCGCTTGCATTTTGAGTTTCAATCTAAGCCCTCTATCTGGGCTCTGCTCCATCACATTTTCGATTCTCTTGCTCAACTTTCGCCTGTAACATCAACTTCTCGATCTTTCCTTTGAGTTCTGCCATGTTCTGTCGCTCAAGTTTCTTCAACAACAACTTATATGTAGTATCCATTGGAACCATTCCTTTCAACAATGCTTCTTGAAAGTAGAAGCAAGCGTGTTCAAGTTTCCGATTCATGTGAAGTTGGTTCTTTCTTTTTTTCTGTAGATAATCAATAAGGTTGTTTTCGGATCAACTTTCGTACACCTCAAAAGTAATTTCTTTTTAGGCATAACTAAAAGGCATTTCTCGATGCACGGTCTCGGATATTTTGAAATAAATTCTAAAAAATATTGACCACAAGAATTGAACTCTAAACCTAGCCTACAAATTCATTCATTAAAAGAGTATATGTAACAAGATTAACACTAACATTGTTTTTGAACAGGTGACTCCAAAGAAACTTGAGTAGCCTCATATTCTTCTTCCTATAACTCGTCTTCGATAAAGGTGCGTAAGTCTTGACATTTGGCTTGGAAGAGTCCTTTTTCATTCTTTCAAACAACTTTAAAGCACTCCCTCTCCCTCTTTAAGAATGTGCATAAGCGAAGAAACCATGATATTATACACCTATAAATTCTAACAAATTTCTTGTTTTTCCATATCCTCAAATACATCCTAAGCATCTTTTATCCTTCCAAACTAACTTAATACATATATTAACGAGCTATAAAATTTAGTGTCTAGCAGACAACCATTTCTTTTCATTTTCTCATAAACCTCCCGGTAAGATCCTTGTAAGGTGTAAATGGATTTACAAAAACGCAGCTCGTTCGGATGGAACTATTGCACGTTGGAAAGCTCATCCGATGGCAACGGGTTTCATTCAAGAATATGGTATTGTGTAACACCCCAAGCCCCAAAAGGGAGGCTAAAGTGCTACGGTATTGTTGAACATTCGTAGAGCACTCGGACATAACTGCAGAGTGCACGCGACCGATAATGGTCTGGACGTGTCGTGGCCATATCTTGCACTCATCGAATGCACGATGATGCCCTATGACTTGGAACCATGGTTGGGACATACAATGCATAGCGAAAGACATTTGATTTAAAAGCTTACTTAAAAGCTCATTTCGTATCTAAAACTCTTTCGTCAATGCAAAAACTTACGTCGTGCTTTAGAAATTCCGTTGACGCAAAACTACGTCCAAGTAACCGAGCATTTATGACGACCTAAATACGCCACGTATCATAATAGTCTACTATCCTATAACTTCGTAGCGGAAAAATAAGGTTTTAATCACGTGAACTCCTTACATGGGATACCAAAATGTTAAAGACAATGTAAAAATAAAAAGATACATGCTTTGAGCAAAATATTTTCACTTTACTCAAAACTAACTTATACACACATCATCTTGCGCCGAGGCTATTTACATTCAACATTTACAAGTAAAACATGTTACAATATATAAAAATGAGCAAGACACGACCTATGAGCTAAAAGTTTAGATGAAAGTATGCCTTTCGATAAACTCTAAAAGTATCCAGATAGCACCATTTATGCGGTAATCTATTCATAAGTATCGTTATGGTCACCTACACCACGAGACATAAAGACATGAGCTAACACTCGGTAAGTGTAACCATACATAAGTTTATTAAAGCCTATTTTTGCGAAAAAATCATTTTTCTCTTTCGAATATGTCTTGTTAAATGTCCGATTTAACTCTCTTTTAAAACCTTGACAAAAAAACTAAACAATGTCTAGTCGAAGACCAACCCTTAGGTATACACCAAATCATTCTCGTGGATGGGCTCTCTATGTTCATACACATGACTTCTTTTTCTTATCAAAAACATGAATCATGAAGACCAATGCCTATTTCATGCCAACAACTTATGCTTTTAATGGTTATGCATCCAAGTATCGTCAATGATGCCATGACCACATAACTATGCTAAAACAGACCTATAAACATCAAGCCAATTCCTCAAAATACCATAATCAATCTAGCATAACAACCAATTCAGTTCATCAAGTAAATCTAAGCAAAAACATCACCACATTCAAGAGAGGCTCTCGACCAAAACTATAACAATTATCTAGGCATCATGATATGAATTCGACCAATTCAAGACATGTTATAATTCACCAAGCTAACATATTAAACATGTCTAATTTTACCTCGAAGCTACTAAAATTTAGAGTTGAATCAAGCAAAACAAGGTAGCCAAAGTATCAATATTTTAACGGAATCTCGAAGCCAAGTCAAGAAATTTTGACGAGAATATATTCAAGCAATTCCAACGATTCATTTAACCACAAAGGCACCTCAAATTCAGTCCATATTTATCTAGAGTTTACATGGTAATTTTAAACTTAGTTATCGGTTCTAAGTCCTTGTACATCAAGGTTTAATCCCTTTTCCATTTAATACACAAACATAATAAAATCAAGCTCAACATGTCAAAGAATGCCTAAGCCTAAGTCTTGTAGTGTATTTGAATGAGTTATTGGTTTAGAGATATTAGATAGAAAAATCCTTCAAATGACCATAAGAGACCCTTCTAGTACTTGGCCTAGCCCTTAGTCAAAAGCGGCGAGAACTCACTCTATTACAATAACTCTCTCTCAAGCAAAATTTTTCTTTTCTCTTATAAAGTTTTCAAATGGCCAAAGGAATCCGGTCGTGGTCTCACCCTCTCTTTATATAGGCCAGTCATGCAATAAAAAAATACTTAAAATTCTAGAGGATGATGACTCATTGGCCAAGTCACCCATGCAAGACATGGTGATGATACCTAGCTTTCCGCTCACTCATGGAGAAGGTAAGTCCCTTTCAAATGTTCAATATATACAATCAAGTCTCCTATATCAAGCATAAATCATATTTAATGGGTTTTTGTATGAATTTCTTAATAAAAGAACTAATATATTAAGGTGTATAGTTGGACATAAAATTTATCAATGAAAAACCGATGTCACAAAAGTGACGGTTTTCATTTATGTAAGCTGAAATGTCTAGACACAATATTTTTCGTCAACGAAAAATGACATGTTCATACATAGTCATTTTTTACAGCAATTTCACATAGTATACAATAGAGTAAGGTATTTGGTAGCAAAATGTATGTTAAAACATGAAACCCATCGACTAAAGTAACAAGTCTTAACGTAGCGAGTTTCGTTGATGAATAAAGCTTGCCTTGGCGTGGTAGTTTTGACAACGAAAACTAGAGTGTCGAGACACCGTTATTTTTTACGATGAATTTGACAAGTCTTAACACAAGCTGGTTTTCGATAACAATCATCCATCAAATATGAATATTCAATTAAGTAATTAAGACATAAATAATTATTGATGAAATCTAGTACTGTCATGACATAATGAATTTTCGATAGCACGGATAACATACCATGACGAGCCAATTTTTAATAGCCACACGCATGTTAATATTTAAGCATCAATATTAATTAGGCATCAAGCTAAACACACACAAACATGTATATACTACGTGTAAAAGTACGGATCTGTTATAATCTCTCATTCTTATAAATATTCTATCCTTGAAATTTACTTACTCAACTCTTTCACTTTGTGGGTCCTTCTTGACTTGCTCTTTGCCATACTATTCGATTACAATAACAACTATATGGTTACCATGATGCACGATGCACATATAAGCATATTCAATAATATCGACAAGCATTAAACATATTAAGCAATTCATCAAGTAAACATCTTTGGAATTTATCAAGCATCGGAACATATCACCTAGTTTATTATGCAAACAATTTATGAGATAATCAAAAATCATAATTTCACATCCAATGAAAATTAAGCACTTATGTGTTGACGACGTTGCCGAAACTAGAATTTACATGTACTTTTTTAACCTCATAGACCAATTTGCTTTCATACCACTCTGTAATACCTTAAGCCTTAAAAGAGAGGTCGAAGAGCCGTGATAGCATCAAATATTTACGAAGCATTAGATGCAACTGCAGCGTACTTGGCCATGTCTTGAATGCGCGATGATACCCAATGACTTGGAACCATACATGGGACATGTAATACATAGCAAAAGACATTTGATTTGAAAGCCTACTTAAAAACTCATTTCATATCCGAAAATTTTTTGTTGATGTAAAAACTTACTTCGTGCCTTAGAGATTTTATTGAAACAAAAGCTGCATCTAGGTAGCCGATATCTACGATAGCTTAAATCATCACGTATCATGACGAGTCTATGGTCTTGTGACTTTGCTATGAAAAACTATGGCTCTAACCATATGAACACTTTGCATAGGATACCAAAATGTTAAAGGCAATGTAAAGATAAAGGAACACATACTTTAGGTAAAATATTTTTATTTTATTCAAGACCAACTTGTATATACATTATCTTAGTCATAAGGCTATTTACATTAAACCCTCCCTTTGTATTTTTTGGGATAATACACCGTTCATCATCCCAATTTTGGTTGTACCTAGTCGACTTTTATTGTAACCAAAAACCATCATCTCCCTTGTAAGCTCCCACTTAACCGAAGCTCTTCCTCTCCAATGCCCCCTCTTACTGACCTCATAAGCTTTCACCTTCTTCCTCATATTTGGTCGCAACAACAAAACAAAGGGGGAGGAGGTAGGCACACTTCATCTTCCTCTTCCTCTACTATTAGCTAGAAAAACTTAACCCCCTATGTCACACCTTTTCCTCTTAGCCTTACAAGCCAACCACTACCCACAACACGGCTCCCTCATAACCTCCCTAACTTTCACATAGGGCTAACACCCCTCTTCATTACCTCATAAACATAACCCTCTTCATCTACAATCCCTTAACAAGAAGCCAACTCCCAATGCCACAACCTTTCCTCCTTGTCAAAGTTGCCCTCACATCGGCCTTGTTGCAAGCAAAAGCTCATATCACCATAGATTTATAAGCCTTCATACGTCCAGGTAGCATCCCGCAAGCATACCTCACCAAGCCAACGAGTCTTATGTACATACCTCGGCTTACATCCAGCAGCTCATGTGCACGTCCTTGTAAGTTGTTGCAGTAGTGCCTCACAACCTTACCTAGGCCATCCCTTATGTGTATGCCTCATTAGGCCGGTAGCTTTGAGCGTACATCCCAAGTAGCAAAACCTTTCGTAAGCGACCCTCTCTTCGAGCCAACTCCTCACCCACCAATTAACACTAGTCTCCTATGTTTGCCAAGCCATACCCGTAAGCCTCTATGCTAGCCTTCAATGCTTTCCAAGCCACATCCACAAGCAGATCCTTCCAACCAACAGCCGACCTCCAACACCCGCTAAGCTACGCCCCTAAGCCTTCTCCCATGTAACCTTTATAGGCCAATGCTCCGACATCCTTCTTATAAATATCCCGCCTCATCCTTTGTAGTAACCACCCGAAGCCACATCAACGGACTCTCACTTTGCCACAACTTGAAATAACCGACCCTCTCATTAGCTAGCAGACTTAACTCAAAATAACCGACCTTATACAAAATCACCGACAACTTTAGCCTTACTCAAAACAAAATAGCCTCTTTTGCCAGTTTCTTTCACTTTCATCCGAAACAACTCACCTTTACGCTAGTCTCTTCTCTTTTATCTTTTGGCCAAGAAATAACCATCATTGTAGTTTCAATTATCGACATAATAGAAGCAAAAAAATACAAAATGAGTGGCGCCGTTGTTTGTGAACGACAACTACAACTAATTTAAGATAAAACTAAATAAAAAAAAAAACTCTTGTTTTTTGATTGATTGAGTTTGACATGAACAACATGAAGTTTTAGATCGCATTTGTTTTAGTTTTTGACAGGAAAACACAACAACTTTATTGCTAAGCCTTTTTAAGTTACAACAACTTTGAAAATTTTCGAGCTATTGTAAAAATTTATAGCAACTTTGATAAATTTACGATAATTTAGGCAACTGTAGCAACCTTTGACTATTTACACTAACTGCGGGGAGATTTTCGGTTGCTTTGGCGGGACTCATACCACATTTTGACAATAAATAATTGCACTTTTTCCCCGACTAATTGAATAATCAATTATCATCGAGGATGAGGAGAGTAGAACCGATCCTAAATTGGATACCGAACTATAAAACATTTGGGTAAAACTCTTAAAACGATCGTACTTCTTTGAAATATGAATGAAAAAATGACTGTACTCCTTTAAAATATGGATGAAATCATTACGTTTTATTTAAATATTCATGGTTTAAATGCGATTGAAGTGAATGTTGCTATAATAGATGTTATGAACAAACTACAATGTTTTATATCTACATTCTTAATGCAAAGCATGTGCTCGTTTTGTGATTTGATTAATTTATCGTACTTGATTGCAATGTTCGAAATAAAACTGCTAAGTGGCTTTTTCACTTATGTGGATGAAGCCATTAGTGGCTCTCTCGAATAATTTTACCCTTTTTAATTTGATCGAAATAAAATTATCAATGACTTCCCATTTATATGGATGGAGTTGTCAATGAATCTTAGACCAATTTTATTTAATATCTCGTTTGTTTAAAACGAAACAAAAAGTGGTTTCTTGCTTATATGATGAAGCTAATAGTGGTTTCGAATTTATTTTATTTTGTTATTTATTTTTTTGAAAAGAAATCGTCGGTGGCTTCTCACTTATGTGACGAGTCGCCAATGGCTTCGAATCGGTTATTTGTTCCTTGCTCAAGTTAAATAAAGTGATCGATAACTTTTCACTTATATGACGAAGTTGTTAGTAGCCTCTCAAATTCATGACTCATAGTCATCAATGGCTTCCCACTATCATTGATGGCCTCTCACTTAGGTGAATGAAGTCATCGATGACTTGTCGCTCATGCTAATAAAAGGTTATTTATCTTTAGAAATATATCTATTTGTCAATAATAGTTCGTGTTTACTAATGACTAGTCAAAATTCCAACTTTCCACACCTTTCCCCTTTGAGTAGGGGGTATAGGCCTTAGATCAACTTAAACCCTTAAACTACTTTATTTTACACCCGAACACCATAGCCGTTTTGTTTTTATATTTAATAGATATAGAAGCATAATACGGTAAAAAATCAAGTTTTTATCTTTACATGCAAACAATGCGATCGCACTTAAGCGAGACAAGATGACGGTGATGTCATATCTTCTCTATACGTAATCAACCCCTTACCTAGATATCTATGTAGATCGGTATGTTTAGGGTTTTTTAGTTTTTTTTAATTAGCTAGGTGACGACTCCTTATCCATCACTCGTGGGGGCAACATCGACATACTTAATTCAAGATAAACTTTTATTTGGATTATTGAATTTTATGTTTTAAATTTGTATGACATTTTGATTTTTTTACAAAATTGATAAATAAAATATTATCTTAATATATTTTATTATATATATAGGGTTTAAAATATATTTTATATTCAAATAATATATTAAATAGTAAGCATAAATTTTTTACAAAAATAAAGTAATAAATCTAATGGAGTTCGAATCCGATCCGCATCCGTTAGGATCTAGATCCCAAATTCAATGTTTTCAAAACTCGATTCGAATTCATAAAACTTGATCCAATTCCGATCCGTTGACAACCTTACATACAACTCAAGAGTATCCACATAACTTGCTTGATTTTTTGGCCAAATGAAAACATCATATGCCGATATACCAAATCATTTGTAGCTAAACCTCTTCAAAACTCGTGAAACCCATTTGTTGCCTATAGACAACTCTCATTTGACGCTTTAACAACGACATCGGCAGATGGGTAGTGTTTCTTCGGCGTTTCACTTATGGTTAGTGTTTCTTCGACATTTGACTTACTTCACCAATATCAATATCCTTTCCTCGGAATAGCAACAGATTACTAGCAATTCCTTTGTGGATTTTAAGGTTAGAATGCTCAACCTAGTTGGCATGTGGAGGAATAACAAGATCTTTATCATCGGGGTCGAGTGGGTTTTTGGTTTTATTTGTTATAGAGACGAGTTGAGTTGATAGATGGATGGGCCGAGTTGGGGGAGTCATGGATGAGGCTCGTATCAATCACGGTGGGGTGGTTGGGCAATGAGCGATTGACTTGATTCGGTTGGGTTTAGGGGAGGGAGCTTTTTCTAAAGAGCTTGAGAATTCGGAGCTTTGATGCTTTTTTTTTTTTTTTTTTGGAGTAAATTATAAATACTTTCTAAAAACCAACTAATTAGTCTTTTCTATATAAAAACTAATTATTTATTTTTCATATTTTTATTTTTTTACTTAATTTTTTGGTTTCATTTCAATTTATTTCGATTTAAAAAAAAATACAAAAGACAAAAAAAAACATTTTATAAAAAATAAAATAATATTAAATGAGACATAGTCAACATTTGTTAAAAAATTAAAAATTAATTTTTAAAATAAAAAGAATTAATTAACTAGTTTTTCAAAAATAAGTTGAAAAAATAATTTATAATGCATTAAATTAACTTTTTTTTAAATGTAAAATGGTGAAACTATACAAGTTTAAACTTTCCGATAAAAATTTATTCTCGGGAAATCATATTGTTATCCACATCGCACATGGGAAACGGGCATGGGCCTTTGGGCCAACGGACGCAATTTAGGATTTGATTGATCGGTTAGGACGAATTTGGTTGGGTTGAGAAGTGGATTCAATTGGGTCGAGGATATGACTAGGATATCTCAAGGATATTTTTTTTATGTTAAATTTGTAAAAATATTTTTTCTTTTTGAAAAAGAAATCCCAAATATATTTTTTAAGTTTTATTAGTTAAAAAAAATATTTAACTAAATATAATCTTACTTCGACCTTTTTTAATTAATTATTTCTAATTTATAAATTTTTAAAACAATGAAAATTGGTGATATGATCATATTTTTATATAAGATTTATTTGAAATAAGAAATTAAGCATCATAATTTTTTTATAAATTTTATGATAATATATAACATCATTATTTTTATATTAAAAATTATTTATTTATTCATAAATGAAAAATTAAAGAAAGATGAGAAACACTTATTAAATTTGAAAGTGAAAAAAAAAAATCAAATTGTTGATCGTCATAATTATTACCATATCTTGTTAAAGATAAATTAATTTTTAGATATCCAAATTTTATTTATAATTAAAAAAGAAAATATAAATAGCATGAATTCTATTTATACTTTCATACAATTCATTATATTAATTTTTAGTACTAATTTTTATTTTCTTTTATAATAAATCTTTTGAGTAATATATAAAATAATTAAAAATTAAGGTATATGTCATATATCATATATTATTATTATTATTATTATTATTTTTGAAATTATCGTATTTTCTCATCTGTATTATATCGTATCCATCTTTTATAGGCATGAAGATTTATTTTATTTTTTTAATTTTAGTATCACTAATAAAACCTTCTAAACTAAGGCCTAATTCTAGCCTAACAAGTATATGGGTAAAATTCCTTCATTGTTCAACAGCTTGTTTTGTTGAACATAATCTTTGTTCATTTTTATTTTTATTTTTTTAATGGAAGTGCGTATCCTAAAGAAAAACGGAGTATTATCTAAAAAAGAATATCGTGATAACCAAATTTAAGCATATAGACAGTCTAACAGAAGTGGTAAATCAACCATAATGATATAATATCGTTCTCTTTGAAGTATCCAAAAATTAAATAGCTTACAAATACTAAACTATCAAATAGGATTGAAAAATCAAAGGAATTAGTTAAAGTAATACGAGAACAAACAAAATCAAAATAATAAACAAAATAGGACACTAAAAGTTATGCAGTCATAATACAAGGGAAAAAACTCAGCAAGTTTGGTCACTGGTGCGTTCTTTACCAATGCATCACATTCTTCATCCTAGTTTAGAAGCAGAAGTTAACAAGCTAGTTGGAAGTGGAGCTCAGAATGGATCATAGAACAAGAAAATTGCCAAGAACAACAGTTAGGTAATAAATTGACAGAAAAACAACCACTGATTCACCATGGAAGAGTAGCAACGCCAATATCTCAATCTTTTGTCTTATGATGTATCTTTAACAAGTTGGAAGGCTAGGAAAGACTAAATAATATTTGCTCTTTCGTCTGTAACATCAAATTTTCAATCTTTTCCTTCATTTCCGCCATATTATTTCGCCCAAGTTCGTTCAATAAAATCTCGCATGTCTTATCCATAGGAACCATTCCATTCAACACCGCATCTTGAAAGAAGAAGCAAGCGTGTTCAAGTTTTCCGCTCTCGCAGAGTTGACGAATCAAAAGAGCATATGTACTAAGATCAATGCTGACATTGTTCTTGGACATGTGACTCAACAGAAACTCGAGCACCTTCATGTCCTTCATCTTGCAACACATCTTCAATAAAGGCTGATAAGTCTCAAGATCGGGCTTGCAAGAATTCTCCTCCATTTTCTCCAGCAGCTTTAAAGCACTCTTGAATTGCCCATTTGCACAAGCAGAATAGATCATGGTATTATATGTCCACAAATCGCGACCAACTCCTTGATTTTCCATATCCTCGAATACAAACCAAGCATCATTAAGCCTTCCAGACCGACCTAATGCGTAGATAAATGTACTATAAAATTTACTATCTGGCTTGCAGCCATTTTTATTCGTTTTCTCATAAACCTCCACAGCTTCATTTATTTTTCTTGCTTTCCCTAGAGCGCGAATATAAATAGAATATGCAGTCGCATCAGGTTCGCAACCCTTGTCGGCCATCTCTTTCAAAATAACTTCAACATTTCGAAAATCCTTCTGGCTACAATATGCTTTAATAAAACAAGTGTATGAGAAAGCATCAGGACGAAATCCGTGCTTCTCCATTTCTTCCATAGTCTTTCTTGCATCATCCAACATTCTGGCTTCGCAGTACCCATGTATCAAAATATTGAAACTATGAGAATCTAAGGTTATAGAATCCTTAAACTCTAAAAACAAACTATAAGCATCCTTAACACCACCTTGCTTAGCCAGAGCATGCATTACCGTATTCAATGCTACTGTGTCTTTCTTCAGACCAAATTTCTCCACCCCTCTGAATGCGTCAACAGTATCTTTATACAAACCAGCTCTAGCGAGCCGCCTCATTACAATACTCATTGTGGCAAACGAAACATACCCATTTAGCTCATTCATTTCCGCGACTACCTTCCACATAATACCAAACTTCTTGTTCTTCCCTAATATATCAACCATGAAATCATATAGCCGAGGGGTATGCACATAACCTGTTTGATTTTTTGCCCAAATGAAAACACCAAAAGACAGGACCCATTGATTGCTAAACCTCTCCAAAAGCTGTGAAACCAAATCATTTGTTGCATTAATTCGACTCTCACCCAACGCCTTTACAACAAGATTCTCGGATGGGAATTGTCTTTTAAGGATTCCTCTCACTTTATCAATGTCGCCACCAGTGCCACTCTCAGCTGCAATGCTTTTGTAGTTTTCATGGCAGGGATTTTCGACCCAGTTGCCGAGTGAAGGAATAACAAAATCTCCATTTTCTGGGTCAGAGAGATTTAGATCCCTATTAGGTCGGTTCGGGGACTCAGGAGAGAAGGTTGAGTCATGGGCGAGGGGCAAGTGGGTAATGGTCGATACTTGCTTGACTAATAAGGAACTGATTTGATGAGGTTTTGGAGAAATGGAGTTTTGAAAGAGCTTTAGTATTTCAAGCCTTGCCTGCATTTTTTTCCTCTCTGAAATCCGAAAGCAGAATGCAAGAACGCTGCGCTCTTTTTAAGGGAAGGATGTGAGTTATTGGGCCGACCCGATTTAGGATGCATTGTGTAATATTTTAGACCCAATTAGTTTTTTTATCCGCGCTACCTGTTAAATAAAATATATAAAATCATATATAAAAATTATTTCAGTTTAATAATCTGTTTTTGATAAAAAAATAATTATAATTTTTTTAAAAAAATTTATATTTAATTGTTTTTAAATTTTAAAAATAAATAATAAAGAAATAAATTATTGATTTTTTTTAAAATTTAACAATTAATTAATTGTTGATTTTTTAAAATTTTAAAATTCAATATTATTAAGAAACGAAAATTAAAAAAAAATTCAATGTTTAAGGGAAAAAAAAAGACCAGCCGTACTGTTCACATGAACAGTAAACAGATGGAAATTAAAAAAAAAGTGTTTAGAGAGGAAAAATAAAAAGGTTGACCGTTTACTGTTCAAACGAACGGTACATGGGTAGGGGGAGGAAGGCCAGCGGGTGCTGGCAAAAAAAAAAAGCTAAAGTACTCTAGCACAGTGAATAATACTGCTTATTGTTACAGTAAAAAAATGATTTTACTTTAGCATATAGCATAACATAATAATATGGATCTTATAGTATGCTACGCTGTGCTATTTTCTTCCCTCCTGCAAGAGCTTTTCCTTCTTTTTTCTTTTTTTTCCTGCTATTAAAACTAATCTGCTAGCTTTTCCCATTTCAAAAAGGCTAACTGGTTTAAAACTATCCTAATTTTCCTGAATTTTTGATCAACAGTAGATGGATTATATGACCTTTCAGTACATGGTCCATCCTGTCTGATAATTTTTACCAACTTTAAGGCCATTAAAGCGTAGCATTCCACGCTCTTTTTTTTTTTTTTTTTTTTGGTTCGGAGTAAGATAAAAAATGAAATAAATACAAAAAGATGAACCGCAAATCTCATTCCAAATCCTTTTGCCCCCTTACTTCAGCCTCCATTTCCCAACACTCAATAGAATTACAAACATCAATTTTCAGTCTTCCCATCTCCAATTGATAAGATAAGAAACCCATAAAATCAAGATATCAACAATCCATTAAACCAAACAAGGCACGAAATTTAACAAACAGAGAAGAAATCAAATCGGCGACAGGGTCACTCAAAATCGGGTCATTGATTCTCTTTTCCAACGATCCAGGAGAAACAAGGGAAGCTAAATTGAGTGATTGGAGAACCTACATCACACCACCACCAATGAGCCATAAAAACCCAACCACCGTTGCGCCATAAAAACCAAGCATCTTGCCACCATCTACCGATCTCAAATCTAGGTGGAAGGAGACAAGTTTCAAAGTGAGTCGGGTCGAAAGTAAAAGAAAAACCAAGTTACTGTATCAATGAGTTTGATCGCCAAAAATATAAACATAAAATTTATATTGGTACCAGACTCCCTCCTAGTTGTGGCAAACCAGATCAGTTCGAGCTTTCCCTGTAGAAACCAGCCAACCAGGACAGGTAGGGTTGTACCGGGTAAGTTGCGTTGGTGTTCCTCCTAGTTGTGGCAAACCAGATCAGTTCGAGCTTTCCCTGTAGAAACCAGCCAACCAGGACGGGTGGGGTTGTACCGGGTAAGTTGCGTTGGTGTTGCCATGCCTACATCCCAGAAGTGAGATTCCTTCTCTGCTAACTCCAAAACTAATTTTATAGGCACTCAATTCACTATTTCAACTCGGCAAAAAAATCAAAATAAAAAAGCTAACATTGAATTAGCTAAATGAATAAAACCGTTCACGGACAGGCTCAAGTCAACACCAAAAGAAGGAAGATGTAACTTATTCTTGAATCTTGGCAAGCAACTGTGCAACTCAGGGTTTCATGCTAACATTGGCAGAATGACAGTTTAACAGTTTGACCCAGCACTGATGCACCTTCCAAGCTGCAAAAGGGAATTCTGATGATAAATAATTAGAGTAGGGGTGATCAATATGGAATTGTATATCCAGACAGTAATTAATAGTTGGGAAAAAACGATATTAGTTTGACCATTGGAATGAAATACTTCACCCGTGGATCACATTCTTCATCTGGACACAGTTCCAGCAGTTCTAGATGTAACTGGAAATGGAATAAAAGTAGAAATCAAAATGATGAAATCGAACAAACTAACTAGTTCCCGAATCTTAACAAGCATCCGGCAAGGTCTAAGCCCTATTTCGCTCTTTCGCCCTCAACATCAACTTCTCAATCTTTCCCTTCATTTCTGCCATATTCTTTCTCTCAAGTTCCTCCAACAACATCTTGTATGTCTTATCACAAGGGACCATTCCCTTCAAAACTGCTTCTTGAAAGAAGAAGCAAGCATATTTGAGTTTCCCATGCTTACCCAGGCCATGCACCAAGAGGTCGTAAGTAAAAACATCAGTACTGACATTGTTCACAAACATATGATTCAATAGAAATTTGAGCAACTTCATACTCTTCTTCCTGCAACCCATCTTTAATAGAGGTGCAAAAGTCTGGACATCTGGTTGGCATGAGTCCTCCTCCATTTTACGGAGCAGCTTTAAAGCATTCTCATCCTGCAAACGTACACATGCAGAAGAAATCATGACTTTGTACGTCCACAAATCCCGACTAACTCCTTGCTTTTCCATTTCCTCAAAAGCATTCCAAGCATCCTTGAACCTTCCAGACAGACATAAGTTATGAATTAACAAACTGTAAAATTGACTATTAAGCACGAAACCATTTCTTTTTATTTCCTCACAGACCTTCAAAGCTTCATTTGGTCGCCTCGCTTTCCCAAGAGCACGTATATAAACACAATATGTAATCAAATCAGGTGGGCAACCCTTTTCTTGCATCTCATTTAAAATAATTTCAACATTTCGAAAATCCCTCTCTTTACCATATGCTTCAATTAAAAAGGAGTATGAAACAACATTAGGGTGAAAACCACGTTTCTCCATTTCTTCTAGAGTCTTTCTTGCATCACCAAACATCCTTGCTTTGCTATACCCATATAACAAAATATTGAAACTACGATCGTCTAAAGTTATACAATCCTCAAACTCTAAAGCCACAGCACGAGCATCCTCAACGCGACCGTTCTTAGTCAATATATCCATTAGCACATTCAATGCCTCTGTGCTTTTACTCAAACCGAATTTCTCCAATCCTCTAAATGCATCAATAGCATCATTATACTTGCCATCTCTAACGAGCCGCCGCATTACCATCCTCATTGTAACCAATGAAACATACCCATTTAGTCCACCCATTTCTTGAACTAGATTCCACATAAGACTAAACTTTCTAGACTTCCCTAATGCATCAATCATGGAATGATATATCTCAGGTGTGTGCACATAACCTGTTTGATTTTTTGCCCAAACGAAAACTCCAAAAGCCACGAACCATTGATTGCTAAATCTCTTCAAAAGCTGCGAAACCATATCATGTGTTGCATTGATACCAGTCTCACTCAACGCTTTAACAACAGCATCCTCAGATGAGTAGTATTTCCTTAGGATTTCGCCCACTTTATGCACATCGCTATCGTTTGTTTCCAACAGCCGCGAGAGACTAGCAATGTTTTTGTGGGATTCGATGTTGGGATTTTTGTAGCAGTTGGCATGTGAAGAAATAGCCAAATTTGCGTCGATTGGTTTTTGGTTGCTACGGAGCCATGTTGGGAGGATAGAAGGGTGGGGCTGGGGAGAGTTGGGTGAGTCCCGGAAGAGAGTTAACTCGGTCAGGGTGCATAGGTGTTTGAGTAGTGAGTGATTGGCTTGGAGGGGTTTAGGAGAGAGGGATTTTTTATAGAGCTTGAGAATTTGGAGTTTTTGCTGCATTTTTTTTTTCGAAGCAAAAGAAAAATAAAGGCACGCACTTGTTCGTTCAGTTTTCTGTCACTACGTACTTATAGTTGATGACTAGCGAGACGATGCAACAGCCAACAGGGACGAGAAAGGGAATATTGGGCCGAGCCGTTGAATTGGGCGGATTAGTTCAATTTGGGCCTGGAAAAATAGGGCAAAAGACACATATATCCCTCCCTCAACTATATATACTTGATTCTTAACTGGATCCTAAACAAAAATAAAACTCTCAATTGGATACCCGTTGAATCAATCCCATCATCAAAATTTAAGAAAAAGACGGCTTTGTTTTACACAATTAGGTTATCATTTATTTTTTATTGATTTCAAAGGAAAATATTTAGAGAGAGAGAGTTAATTCACTTAATTGGATGCTGTCAAATAGATGGGATCCGATCGGGATTTTTTGGTGACCTAATTGAGAATTTGGTGATAATTGGGGGATAAATATGCCATTTTACAAAAAAAAAAAAAGTAAAAACCCTTTTGCGGTAGGTAGTTCACTAGTTCTATGTCCTAGCAAAGAGCACAAACTACGAAGTACAAGTCAAAGCCATCCCTTTCTTGGTTAAGTAAGAAATTTAACGGTATTTTTCTCTCCTCCAATTCACATATCCCTCCAAAAAGGCAAAAAGGGCAATTTTCGTAGTTCTCTGCACAGGTAACTCTTCTCCATTGCTCTTTTTCAACTTTTAGGAAACTTGATTAACAGATTGCATTTTGTTTATTTCATATTCTTTTCCATTTCTTTTATTGTGAAAAAAGATTGGAATGATTGATAAAGCTCAGAAGAAACAGTTTTTGCAGGGACCTAAATTTTGATGTTTTATGTTCGATTAATTGCATGAACTAGCAATAGCATGCAAAGCTAGTGTAGAGAATTGGTTGAGAAATGTAAAATAAAATTGTTTCTGCTTTCTTGAGGAAATGAAGCAATGATGGTTTAGAGTGACCCAGTTTAGTCTTTTGCTAAATAATTGGAATTTTGGAATGCTGGCTTAGATTAGCTTGCCATTGGGGTCATTTATGGGGGTTTAATACTTTCTGCCTTATTAATCGATGAATTTTATGGTGATTTGACTTGGGAGTCATGAGTAATTTTTACTGTCCTTTGTTTCTCTGGTATCTTTTTTTCCTTCTTTATTGTTCTTTTATTTTCAATTGCAAGTCACCGTAAATGCCACCGGATTTGCTTGCTTATTTACTGTTTGTCTTATTTTGTTTCTAAACAATTTGGGAAATTTTTGGGTGATTAATTGTAACGTGATGTAGAAATTTGATTTAGTTTTCAAGTTGTGTGCTAGTGATTGGTCATTGTCCAGCACAACTTAAACTTCTTGCATGGAAAGACCTTGATTTACAGGCAAATGGGAATGGTAAATGTGGATGAGAGTTTATGGAAATACCATCAAATTGTTTTATAAAGATAAAGAGTCAGGCATGAAGATATATGAAATGTTAGTAAATTTCTGCGTTCACTTTCAAACTTTTTTGTTTTCCTAATTTGCACCATTTTAGTAAATGGTTTGATAGGTATGATTTACTTTTATAGTTCATTTGCATGGGTTCCTCCACGTTTGCAAGCACATGTTGTGCACCTGAACTTGTTTGTGTTGTGTCAAATGGGGTTCAAGTGACGTATGTTTTAGGACTTTCGTTTCTGTCTTTTACGTTTGCTTGATGTCCTTGTGAGCTGGAGTCTGGTGATCTCTTTGCAGGGCTACATTGTATGTAACATGAAGAGGACTATACCATGGACTGACCCAGTTGATGTTATATCATCAGATGAATCTTCTTCCTCAGATGAAGATATAGAGCTTAATGATGGAAACGACAGCCAGCAGTTACCCAATAATGTTACAATTGATCAACTCATCAAAGAAATGACATCTGAGGGTACTGACTCCAATTTGAATTTGGATCCTTGTAATATTTTGTTTTGATAATAATTTATGTGTGCACTATGCCATCACTAAGCAACTTGGCCTGTATCTCATCAAATGAACTGATAAAATATTCCTCTCGTTGAAAATTATCCTGCTGCCAGTCCATATTTTATGCTGTCTTAAGTTAAAAAGTTCCTCTGGGAAATCATCCACTTGAGTTTTGTACTTGTTTAACAGATATTTGCATTCATTTTTTGACGTTTTAGTATTACTAAATGTTTCATAGTTCAGGTGTGTTGATTAGGAGGGCAGAAATGTATCAAGACTACATGAAACATATCCCTATCCCAGTACAACGTGGTTCTGCCATCCCATTTTCCTCATGGGTGGGATTAGGCAAATCCATTAAGCAACTATACCAGCAGCCCTTGCATTACCTCACCAACGTTCTTTTAAAACAGTGGGATCAGCAGCGAATTGGCAGTGAAGATGAGCACAAGCCTTTGGATATCATGATTCATCCTTGTAAAGCTGAAGCCACCATCTGGCTTGTTGAGGAAGTTCACAGGTGCACATCATCACATTATCATGTGGCTAAACTCTGGCAATCTGACTCAATGCACCATGCTTCTGTAGACTCCATTTTTCCACAGTTATGAGAAACATATCTCAGCTTTGAGCTGATTCTGTGGGATGTTCCTTAATTTCCTGGGTAAGAGCTTAGAATGTATAACCAGCATCTGCAATGGAACAGAAACTTCTCTTATGGTTATTCATTATTATTTTATTTTATTTTGTACAACCATCTCTTGCATAAATATCCATTTTTAGCAAATCTTTTCACCCTTGTTCTTGATTCCAAATAATGTTCTTGCGGATTGAAGGTTGGAAATTCTGGGACATTTTTTCTTCTCTCTTTCAAATTGGCAATTCTAATTTAATCTGTAATAAACGAAGAACTTGAGTTTCGTGTAGCTGACTGGCATCTCTAAAATGTAGCATTCATTGGGTACAGCATTTACATTTCAATTACCAATAATCGCCACAAGAACAGAAACCTTGCTGGAAAAAGTGGAAACGGTTATTATCCCGAACAATGATTTCTCTTCCGTATAATTTTGATACTAGTTTGGCAAATGAGTGGCAATCAGAGCATATTCGGAGATTCTTTGCAACACGAATTGGGATTCCTTGGCCTGTATTGATAAGTGCAAAAGCTATTGCCAATTTTTCACTATGTCGACTTAGCAGGTACTCTTTCTCCTCCTCATTAACATCAAGCAGAACATTCGTAGAATCAGGAACGTAGCCAGTGTCTCTTAGCCTACAGAAAATCTCTTTCAACATAGGTTGAATGTGGGTCATATCTGGGTGTGATTCATCACCAGATGTGAACTCATAAATTTCTCCGTTGATCTCGATTGAGCTTGATCCAGGCAGTTTATGTACTCCTTTCTCCTTCAGGTGTAGCCTAACCTTTGCAACATCATCCCATCTTCCTGCAGAGGCATATATGTTCGACAGAAGCACATGAATCCCAGTCGTCTCAGGATCAAGTTCATTTATCCTTTCTGCTGCATAAGCTGCAATATCTACATTTTTGTGCATCCGGCAAGCAGCTAAAAGAGATCCCCAGATCACATCATTAGGTTCCATTGGCATACTATTTATGAGACTAAGAGCTTCACTCAATAACCCAGCTCGGCCAAGCAAATCAACAATGCACCCATAATGGACAACTTCGGGGGCTATACCATATATATCCTTCATGGACCTGAAAAAATGCCAGCCCTGATCTACCAACCCCCCATGGCTCAATGCAGTCAGCAGCGCCACAAATACCACTCCATCTGGTTTAATCCCTTGCTGCAGCATCTCATTAAAAAGCTCAATAGCCCCATTCCCATTTCCCTCCATGGCCATTGCACCAATGGCTGCAGTCCAGGCTGAAACATCTCTTTTCACCATCTTGTTGAAAACTTGCATTGCACTCACAGGGTCCCCACACCTAGCAAACATATCAACCAAGGCTGTGCCAAGCCGCATATCACAGTGAATATCTTTCTTCTTAATATAACTATGGATCCACTTTGCAAGGTCCAGAGCTCCTAGATACCCACAGGCCGATGCAGCACCCACCATTGTCACCCTGTCTGCCGATATTCCCTTGTTCTGCATTACCCGGAAAAGTTCTATCGCTTCATTGAACATACTTTCTTGTACCAAAGCCCCAATCATTGTGTTCCAAGAAACAAGATCACTCTCTGGCATCGCATTGAAAATTTTCCAAGCAGCCTCAAAATCACCATTTCTAACAAAACCAGCAATCAGTGAGTTCCATGACACCTGGGTCTTGTTCAACATGCGATCAAAGACCGTACAAGCCATTTCTTGTTTGCCACACTTCATGTACATGTCAATAATGGCATTGCAAATATTGTCCCAGCCTTCTAATCCATTCCTCAAAACATAACCATGGCACCATTTTCCACAGGAAACATCATCCAACTGCGAACATGCTGAAACTGCTGACAACATCGTAATCCTATCAGGTCGTGGACCATGTTGCATCATTTCATCCAATACAGCAAGAGCTTCTCTGGCCAGGCCATGGCGCACATAATTTGACATGATTGTGTTGTACAAGACCAAATTTTTATCAACACACTCGTCAAAAATCTGTTTTGCCTTATCAATAGCTCCACATTTCATGTACAAGTCAACAAGTGCGTTAACCATTAGCGTATTAACCTTCAGATCTAGCTCACCAATACAAGCACACACCTGCTCTCCCAAATCAAGATCCTGCAATTTTGCACAAGCAGAAATCACACCTACCATTGTAACTGAATTGGGTCTAATACCCACCTCTACCATCTCAAAAAACAAAGAAACAGCCTCTTTATAACAGTTCCTCTTAGCATAGCCACCAATCAAGCTAGTCCAGGACACAACATTTCTGTCAGACATTTTATCGAACACCTTTCTCATAAAATCAATCTCTCCACACTCACCATAGAAATGTATCAGAGAATTCTCTACAAACATATCTCTCTCAAAACCCATTTTAACAATCGCTCCATGGACTTGAACTCCCTCACTACGGACAGCACCCTTCGTGCACGCGCTTAGCACAAAGGGAAAGGTAAAATGATCAGGGAAAACACCCTTACACATCATTTGATGAAAGACCATAATGGCTTTATCACAGAGTCCACAAGAAGAGTAACTTCTAATCAAAGAATTGAACATATAATCAGTACGCATCATTCCATTATCTTCAAGGAAGAGCTCTAATGCCTTCTGTGCGTATTCTAAACTTTCAAAAGTGCCCATTTCAGTGCATGAGGAGATTAGGTTGGTTAGAGATGAAGGGTTGTGATTGAGGCCGTTTTTAGTGATTTGGGAGTGTAGTTGTTTGAGTTCTGTCATTGTTTTGCATTTTTTGAAAGATCCAGTTGGAGAAGAGCGGTCCTTGATCAAAGCTTTTAGTTCATTTTGGTTTGAGGTTGGGGTAGCAGGAATTAGTGTAGAGAGATGAAGTGTTGCAGCCATTCGGTCTGGACTCTCGTGTTGCAGACTAGTGCTAACTAGATTAACTGAAATTTTAAAATTGCTAGCGGTCATGTGCTCATTTGCTCCTTTTTCATTCCTTTCCAATTTGCGAGTTTTATGCGTAAGTTTTTTTAATGATTTCTATATCATTTATTTTCCGTTCTTTTTATCATTTTCTACAATCATTTTAATTTTAATTTTTTATATTTTCTTATTTTCTCAACAATATTACATGATAAGTTGATAAGGATAATATCAATATGTCCAGTACAGTATATATGTTTTGTATTTTCATAAAAACACATGCAATTTTCGATTAATCTCTTTGATGTAGGTTTTTTTTTTTTTAAGAAACTCATCTAATTATATAACAACAAACTCTATCATTTTTTTCATTTTTATTATTATTAGTTATGGCCATGGTTTTGGCTTAATTAGAATTATGTTATATTTTATTATATGAATATGTCCTAAATTGTTTTAAAAAAGATGTTACTACTGCAGTAATATACAATTACTAATAATTTTTTTATCTACACATACAACTATGAATGATTATATTCTTATTATAATAAAAATTTGTATAAATAGCTTCTCATCTAAGTAAAGTTTTCTTTTTAAAAAATTAAATTTAATGTACCAAAAAATCATGAATTTTACATTTTTTTTAAGTATTTTATCTCGTTCTTTTAATGTTGGATAGAAAGATCACAAACTAAACTTCGGTAATAATACTAGCATTTGTGAGTTTTTCAACTTAAATTCCAACCAAAGCCGACATTGGCACGTGATGGAACATGACAACTTGGCTTAATGTGCCATGTAAGATTCCACATAGGATTCACATGGCTTATTAGCTCGAAAAAGAAAATCCCTAAACCCTCCCTCTTTCTTCGATAAACCAAGAAGGACTATTCATTTTCTCTTAAAAAATAAAACCACGGCCACCACTTAGACAACCATAGCCAAACCCCTCCTGCTAACCAAGATTGTCGATCACCACCGAGCAAAACCCACGGTCTTTCATCATCCACCACAACCAATCTCGAAACCCATAAAGTCAACATTTTCCATTATCAAACAAATTGTCCCTCTCCTCCACGACGACCACCACTGCAAAGCTAACACAATAGCCTTGAAACCTATTAACCCACACGACCACCATAGTAGTCCCAAAATATCACCCACCACAATCGGCCTTGAAACTCACAAACTCAACCTCCTTTCTTGTCAAACCAACTCGCCTTTCACCAAGACAAAAACATTCACGTCTTTTTTTATCTTCACTATGGAAACTCTATGCTTGCTTTGCTGCAATCATTGATCCTCTTCTTTTCTTCTCTCTTTATTCTCTCCAAAATAAGAAATTGAATTCCCTTCAAAGCTCATTCGATTCCATACTTCTTCAAAAAATAAGCCTCCCTCTCTCACTAATTTCTCTCTTTTATAATTCATTTTTATTTTGTGGTCGAATTGGAATCGTTTTGAATTTTTGATGGTGGGTCCGATTTTGTGGAGAAGGGAAATTGCATGAAAGGTGTTGATTGGCATGGTTGCCAATAGAGAGAGATGTTTGGCGAGGTCTGTTGGTTGATGGGCAAGAGAGTTTCGACGAGGTTTTTTATGGATGGAGTGGTTAGGGACGATAGAGAAGAGCTTGATGTTTGGTGGTAGTGATTAACAACAAGAGGTGATGGTCGTAGATTATAGGTGAGAGAAAGGTCTATTGAGAGATGACCGTGATGGGTTATGGTCAACGGATTTGTGATAGTAGAGATTGGTTGGCCAAGGGTTTCGAGAGGAAGGGTAACTTTGGCGGGGCGATGGAGAGTGGGCTATGGTTGGACATAATGTTTGGCAATAGGAGGAACAACGACTGGAGCTTGGGCTTTGGTAATGGGACGAGCTAATATTTCTCTCTCCCGGTCCCTTTCCTTATAGTAAAAGGGACAATTGGAGAAAAATCCATGTGGATCCTATGTGGCACATTCAACCAAGTTGTCATGCTCCATCATGAGCCACGTGAACTTTGATCGAAATTTAAACCCAAAAAACTCATATATGCTAATATTGTTATCGAAACTTAATTCGTGATTTTTTTATCTAAAATTGAAACAACAAGATAAAATACTTAAAAAGTGTAAGCTTCGTGATTTTCTAATACATTAAGTCTTAATGTATTTACTTAATTTTTTCTTTATACTACCATCTCATAAAAAAATTGATAACTAATTCAAGTATAATGATATATATATATATATAAGACACATATTTAAAAAATAAGATTTTTTTCAAAATATAAAATATTAGTAATAATTCTAATTCTTGGTTTAGCCTTAAAATAATAAAAGAGACAAATTTAGCTCTGTCAATAAAATAAAATACTCATCCTTAAAAAAAAAAAAAAATTAGTGGTCGTATTGACATTTTATAAAGACTGACATCGTCCTAGATATTTTCACTATTTAATTTAATCTATTTGCATTTTAATTGGTTTATTTTGTTTATCATGGCAATATAAAACCATGCCTATAAATATGGGAAACTTGAATTTGTTTATATATGGATTAACTCTCCCAACGAATTTATCCGCTATATTTTTTATAAATTATCTTATAAAGTTAATTTATTCCGTCAAAATCATTTTAAATAAATTATTTTACAACTTAGTGACTTCTAATTCAAATATCAGAAAGCTTACCTCCTAAATAAAGAGATCTTCTTGAATTCCAACCTCTTAACCAATTTAAATTATTATAGAATATAAGTACTCGAAACAATGAAGGCTTAATTTTAAAATTATTATAGATTGGAAGATCTTTAAATTTATATAATGGATGGAATGTGCTTGCATCCTTCTAGTCGATTCTAACTTGTTAAATGTGTGCTTAACAATATAGTTTTAAATCAAAAGCATGGTTGTAAAAATGATAAAGATTATGATCGCGAGATCACTAATTATCGTGGTAGTAAAATAACTATTATGATAACCGATGTTATTACGATAAGCGATGTCGTAAATGCATAAACAACTATTAATAAATTTCTTTTAAAATAAAAAATAATTTTTAAAAAAATAATATAATGGTTATCTTTTATCAAATAACAACAATAATAACCATTACAATTATATAATCTCGTTGTTATTGTTATTTGTATGAATAAGACTTATGCCGTTTATAGCAATAAAAAAACAATAACGACCAAATTTGAAACTATACTCAATAATATCCAGTCAAACTTAATTTTCTACATCATGCTGCAATTACTAATCAACCATATTATTTGATTGATGGTCATTATTAAAATACAAATTGATAAAAGAAACAATTGTTGTTTTTAATCTTACGTTTAAAGAATTCGAGTATATATTATGTTAAATTTCCTAAAGTTAGTTTATGTAAAAAATTAATTTTTCAAATTATAAAATTCAATTAAAATTCATAATGGAAATGAAAATATATAATTTGCACATTCATTTCAATAAAGTAGCTTTAAGATTTTATGTGTGTGTGTGTGTGTGTGTGTGTGTGTGTGTGTGTGTGTGACTAGTTCCAACTGAATTAGCATTATGTTATATGCTACTATATGAATATGTCATTGATTCTTCATCATCAATTATTATAGGTTGATCTGTTTTTTCATTCTTTTCAACATTTTCTACATCCATTTAATTTTTATTTTCACATTTTTCTCAACATTAGATAATAGGTTGACATAGGATAAAGTAAAATCTTTCTAAAAATAATAGCATTAAGAATTTATGATATTGTTATTATTATATGATATACATATAACTAAATATATTTGTATCAAATATAATAATATTCATATTCAATAAATTTGTTTTTTTTTTCATCAATAGGCATAAATTACAAGGGAATTTCTTTGACATTTTAATCGTAAATTCTATCAAATGTTTATGTATAACTCATATTTTTACATACATTTGTCGATATACGGTTTATTTTGTTTTCTTATACATTATTATAAAGATGAAAGTCCTCTTTTAGGAAAACAATTGTTATTAAATTTTTAACAAGACAATCAATATTATAGTTTACAAATTGTTTTTATTTTTATATTGTAAGAAATAATATATAAAAATGTTAGACACATGACTTCATTTAATCAATATATTTTGAATTATTGTTATTATTTTCTATCATTGGTGCAAAGTTAAAAAATTGCATCAATTTATCATACTTTATATAAAATTATTATGGAATAGTAGGTTAAAGAACGGTTTTGAAAATCCAAGTCATATATCGGATGAATATTTTTAAGGTTTTACCATTTACTATTATTTTATATGTAATTTCTAAAGCTTCTATAAATATTTTAAATTACCAAAAAGTTATTTATTTTTATTGAATTTTTGAGTGATAGAACTCACAATGTGGAAAGATATGTGAGTAAAGTTTAAATTACTTAGCTTAGTAAGTGAATGATGCACTTTATACGGTTAGTTAACCCAATTCAAATTTTTTTAATTTAATTTAAATATAGTTTTTTTGCATCTTTTAAAAAATTGAATATTTCATGTAAAACACAACTACTTTCTTATTTTTAACATGAGAACATAATTTTATTTCTATGGTATATTTTAATAATTGTCCTCCATTAGTAGCTAAATATTGATATAATATGTGCGTGTGGGTGTGACCTATTATTGAAAGAATTTTGTAACATCAAGTTAAGCAATGTTATACATTATCATTAAAGAAAACATTCTTTTACCTAGTAAAAATGATTGTAACTTCATGTCATGTAAATTCAACAATTTACTTTTACATTCAATTAGAAGAAGTGATAGGAGAACATAATTTAAAAGCATCTTTTTAAAAAGATTCTTAAATTCTCTTTAACACCCCAACCTTGGAACATTCCTATTAGGAATGGCAATGGCGTGGGCACCCACCGAGTGTTTTGCATCGTTCCCGCCCCATGCCCCGACGGGATAATATTTCTCATACCATCCCCACCCCAAACGGAGACGAGGATCCCCTCGAGGGATTAGAGCTCCGTTTAATTTTTTATTTTCATCTCTTCCCGCTTCATTCTACCATTCA